AAAGTGTTTATGTGAACACACATGTTTACATGTGAACACGCAGTGAGAGGCCGGAGAAGCCTCTGACCATGTGAGTGCTGAGCCTGCATCTGTGTTTTTGCCTGATGGTGAGAATTAGTGGGTGTGTCCCTCACCTGGCTCCTTTCCAGAACTCCAGGCTCTTATATGGAACTGCCCATCTATTTCCACATGGATGCCTAATGAGCATCTTAAACATCACACAGCCCAAACAGAACTTCACATCTCCTTTCCCACCCCAGACTGATCCTCTCCCAGTCTGTCAGCCCTTATCAAGTCTATCTGGGATCTGCCAACTTTTCTCCAGCCCCACTGCTATCACCCTAGTCCAAATCAACTTCACCTCTCACCTTGCAATAGCCTCCCAAGTGGTCCCCTGTTTCCACCCTTACTCCCTGTAAGCTGCTAGAACTCCCCAATTATTTCTGTGTCAGTTGGAATAAAATCCCATCCTAACCCTGGCCTCCCAAGGACTTAAATGGTCTGCGCTTTGCCAACCCCTGCCTCGGACCCCATCTCCCTCCACCCTCCCTGTCAACCCCTGTGCTCCAGACACTATGGCTTCATTCCTGTTTTTATGCTCCCCAAGCTCCTTCCTGCAGGGCCTTTGCCTTTGGTCTCCCTTCTGTCTGGAGCCTGAGGTCTCAGCTCAGAAATCCCCTCCCCAGAGCAGCCTTCCCAGAGATCCCCTCCCAAGCCCACCCCCAGCGAAAGCAGCCACTGTGCTTGCCTAACCCAGCATCCTAGCTTAATTCTCTGCTTGGCCTTTGTCACTACTAGCTGGTATTTCTCTGGTTCCTTTGGTTATTTATCTTTCTTCTTCCTCCACCAGAAAGTAAACTCCAGAGGAACAAAACTAACTGTCTGGTTCACCCAGCCCATCCTCCAGGCCTAGGACCCTGCCTGAGCTCAGGTGCGATGTGTCCAAACCTGTGTCCAGTGAATGGAAGATGAATGTGGGAGAGTGAGTGGCTGAAGTGGGTATGTGTGAGTCAGTGTAGATGCATGAGTGTGTGTGTGTGTGTGTGTGTGTGCATGCTGGCTGAAGAGGCCAGACTAGTGGCCTAGTCTGAGGCCGGACTAGAGGACCACAGTGATTGGGAAGTCTCCTTCCCGCGGGGAGGACAGGGAAAGACAACTTGTGGGGTCCTCCCCCCAGTGGGGATGACGATGGGTGGGGTCCCAGCCAGGCCGGGCCAGACTGGGGACGTCCAGGGCGCACCTCTGTCCCGCCCCCAGGCACAGGGGCCCAGGGCTGGCCGACGTGGCAGCTGTGCTGCCGGCGGGCAGGCGGGGAGGGAGGGACGGAGGCTGGAGGCGGGCCGGAAAGTTTGGCGGCGGAGGCGGGGACTCGGCCGGGGGATGCGCGCCCGGGTCCCCAGAGCCCCCAGCTCGCCTCGGAGTCCTGCTCAGCATGGGTAAGTCGCGATCGGCGCTGCGGCCAGGGAAGGCCGGCGACCCCATCCCTACGCGCGCACTCTTTGCGCTGAGCTGCAGCTCCCCGAACAGATACAGCCCACTCGGATGGCAGCCGGGACAGCAGGCCGTGGCTGGTGGCTGGGAAGGGACGTGGGCCCACTTCCTTCCATGCTCCTTTCTGCCCAGAAAAAAAAGTGACCTGAGAGGGCTCCTTACTTGATACTGGGCGCTTACTCGGGGCCAGACCCTCTCCTGACCGCTTTAAGCCGTACAGCGTCCAGCAGGCGAGTGAAATTGTTCCTATTCTGCAGATGAAGAAGTGGAGGCTCCGAAGGGAGCAAATTCATTCATCCACTCGCGGAGCACCTCCCACCGGGCGCCGTTCCAGGCCCGGGGATGCTGGCCTGCACAAAATAGACAAAACCTCTACTCTCCAGATACTCAGTAGAGGGGAGATGGGGTGGGGGGAGGGGGGGAGGGAATTTCTTTGTTGCTCCAGGGGACTAAGGTTTCTGTTTTTCTCTCTGGATTCGGAAGCATCAAAGGGTCAATATTCATCCACCTACTATGTGGCAGACATTGGTTTAGGGAGGGAATTTCTCCAGGGGACTAAGGTTTCTGTTTTTCTCTCTGGATTCGGAAGCATCAAAGGGTCAATATTCATCCACCTACTATGTGGCAGACATTGGTTTAGGGCTCGGGGACTCAGTGGCCCTGTGTATAGATTTTGGGGTCAGAAAGACCAGGGTTCCAACCCTCCTTCCCCCACTTCCCAGGTGCATCATGACCTGCGACAGTGTAGTTAAGCTCTCTGACCTTCAGTTTCCTCATCTACAAAACGGTCCCCATAAAACACCCTATCACAGGGAAGCCATGTGAATGACGTGAGAATATGAACTTAATTACTCCATATACCACTTGCCCACGGTAAATGGTCAGTTAACATGAGCTTTTATTTTTTTATCACACCCAACATTGGGATTCTGGAGTCAGGCTGCCGAGTTCAGAACCTGCTCTGTCACTTTACAACCATAGGCAAACGTCTTTACCTCTCTGTGACTCAGCTGCCTCATCTGTAAAATGGGAATGGCACCAGTGCCTGTGTTACAGGGTTGCTGTAGGAATTAAGGCAGCTGACACAGGTATGGCTTCTGGAAAAGGATGTGAGGTTGGCTATAGTGACTGCTCTGTAAGTATCACCTGTTGCTGGGACATTTGGAAGCCAGCCTTCTGGGTGAGGATATTTGCATGGTTCAGTTTCAAACCTGGTCTTTCCCTGGAGTTTCAGGGGAAGACATGGCAGGTCTCTGGTGCGGGAGGGACCCAATACATTGTGACTCTGGTTGAAATGCTGCTCTAGTGTCACCAACTGAGGGTGCCCTAGGACTTGCAGCTGGTGATATGGGCACCCAAAACCTGGGCTCTTTCCTCTTCACCTGCCCCTTGATTCTCTCCCTGGGCAGCTCTGCCTGCTACAGTGAGAGGCTTGGAGAACTGAGGGGTTTCCTCCAGTGTAGAACAGCTTCACGTACTATATTTAGACAGACAATCCATAGAAAGGGAGAGTGGTTCCTAAATCCAGGCTAGGCCACCCTAATTTGGAGGCCAGGATTTACTTCCCTTCCTGGATCCCACCGCCCCCCCACCCCAGGATGCTCAAAAGCCAAGATCCTTTCTCTCTGGATTCCCTATGTCCTGAGTTCATTCATTCATTCAATCATCTATTTACTCAACCAGTACTTACTGAGTGCCTACTGTATGCCAGGAACTGTCCCCAGCATCAGGAGACAACTGAGAACAAACAAACAATTCCTGTTCATTTGGGGCTGACATTCTGCTTGGGGAGCCCAATAAATACGTAAAACATATAGTTATTTCAGATGATGAAAAGTACCATGGAGAAAAACAAGTAGAGAAGGGAATACGAAGTGCTGGGTGCCATGGGAGTTTGCATTTCTAAGTAGAGGACCAGGGAAGGTCTCATGAGAAGGTGACGTTTGAGCAGAGACCAGAGGGAAGGGAGACTGGGGCCTCTGAGATGGAGGGAAAGGGCTTTCCCGGCTGAGGTGACACCTGATAAAAAGCCTTGAGTTGAGACAGGCTTGGAGTGAGGCGGAACGGGAAGGACGCTGGAGTGGCTGGAGCCCAGTGAAGGGAGGCAGGTCCTACAGGGCCTTGAAGGCCACTCTCAGGACACTGGCTTTTTTTCAGAGTGAAGTGGGAGCCTTGGAGGGCTCTGAGCAAAATGATGTGGTCTGACTTGGGCTATCGTAGGATCCCTCCAGCTGCTCTAGAGCAGTAGATTAAGTTCAAATGTATCTGACACAGTCCTGGAATGGGACGTGGAGATACCGCCCTGGACCCTGACTCAGTCATTTGTTCACTCAGTAGAAGCTTTATTGAGCCCATCTTGGGTGTCAGCGTGGGGCTGGAGCCCTGGAGGCACAGAGACAGTAAGTCTCTGTCCCCATCCTGCTCAGTTCAATAAGGTAAACACATCACTTATTCAATTACTTGGTGTGAGCAAATGCAGGAGAAAGCAGAGTTGGTTGGAAGTGAAAAATATGACTTGGAAAGTTGAGGAAGACGTACAGGAATTAGAGATTCCCTCAAACTAGCTTAACCAAAAAAAAAAAAAGAGTGGGGGGTTATTTATTGGTCACTGAGAAGTCCACAGCTTCAGGCATGGTTGGATCTAGGGGCTCAGGCAGTGTTGTCAGGAATCCCTCCCAAGGGGAGATGGCCCCCAGCTGCTCTAGGCAGGTAAACTACCAGCTCAGTACCCCAAGTAAGCAAACACCCTGGACTGGACTGGCTCTCACTGGCTCAGGTTCAGCCACATGACGTTCACCACTGTCCAAGGCCGGGGAACCTGCTGGCTGATCAGATCTGGGTCATGGACACACCTCTGGAGCTGGATGGTGGGGGTGGAATAGGGAGGTCATCTCTACCCCAGATCCGGAGACTGAGAGTTGAAGACGGGACAGGGAAGGGCAGCTCCCCACAGAGCCGGCGAGACTGATGCCAAATAACAGACGTGTATTATCAGAGGCCCCCCGGGATGAGGATGAGTGGGCATTTGGGAAACACGGGTGGAGCAGGAGAGGGAGAGGAGGCGCATGCAGAGGCAGAGCGGCATGAAAATCTACGGTGTGTGCCAGGAACCAGTGTTTGCAGGGTGTGTTGGAGAGGTGGAGACAGGGGTGGGGAAGAGAGGTGGCCAAGGAGCTGGGCTGGGGCCACCAGCTCGTGAAGGGCCTGGGAGGTCATGCTAAGGAGTTAGGACTTAATGGAGCAGGTGGTGGGAGCCTTGGAAAGCTTAAGGAAGAGAATTCTCTTCCTCCATCTTTCTAGCGGCCCTGACTCATCTGAGGCTGCCCTTCACAGCTCCATGGGTCAGTAGCACTTCACCGTGCTTTGTGACTTGGGATTTTCCTGAGAACTTTATTTCCCCTCCACATCCGCCCCCTATGCCCCTGCTCTCTCTCACACCCCACCTATCTCTGATTGGCCCTTCTTGCTTGAAGTCAATCCAGCAAAGCTCTTAAGTGCATGGGTTTGGGAGTCAGATGGGTCAGCGCCTGAGTTCTGATCCTGTTGCTTCCCAGCTGTGAGAACACTCTGAGCCTTAGTTTTCCCATCTGTCAAATGGGGATAATTGTAGCAGTACCACCTAGAGTCGTTACGAAGATAAATTGAGAGAAGGCACCTAAAGTCTTTGCAGAGAGGAAATACTCCATCAATGACACTTGTTATTATTACTGTTTGATCTCACTTTTATTTTTGCTGTTCTGCTCTTACCACTGTGACCTGAACCTGTCCTGCTGCATTTTCCAGCAGAACCCATGGACAGTCAGCTTTGCCTGTGAGCCCTTTGGCTGGGTTCCCATTCACCTCAAAAAGAGCCCAGGAAATGGCAGAAAAATTCTGTGTTTTCACATGATTGCCTCACATGGCCTGGAAGAACCTTCCCTTCTGGCAGTAAACTCCAGAAACCGAGGGAGGTGGGGCAGAGGGAGGTGAAAAAGGGGCAGGACCTGGGCAGCATAACCTCCCCAGAGTATTTACTGATGGTCATGAAGAGGAAGGACAAGGCCAGCCAGGGAATGGTAGGAGGCTATTCCCTGGGGGGCAGAGGTGATGGGCAGAAAGGTGAGCAGAAAGTGGGGGGTGATTCCTCTACCCGTGAAACTCCTCCCCCCTGCACAAAAATTGCCTAACATAGATGGAGCGAGGCAGAAGTAAGAGAACAGCGTGAAATCTTATTATGCCAAGGTATAATAATGGAGTGGTTAAGGGCAGAGATTGTGGAGCCAGACCACCTGGCTTTGAATCTAGACACAGCTACTCACTACTCTTGGCCTTAGGCAAGTCTCTGATGATCAGTTTACTCATTCATAAATAATGCAAAAGCCCACCTCATAAAGTTGTGGTGAGAATTAAATGAGCTATTACACTAAAAGTGCTCAAAGCAGTGCCTGGTCCAGATCAAACACTCCATAAATCTGGCTATAATGTTATGAATGTTCTTGTCAGGTCCAGGTGGGGATGGGTGAGACAGATACATCTGGGTTACTCCTGACGCTTCCAGAAATATTTGTTTATGTATGTGAATTAAAAATTAAGAGCAACCTGTTTAACTGCTCTGCCAGTATGGTAGCTGCTGGCCACAGGAGGCTATTTTCACACTTAATTCAAATTAAATATAAATTAAAAACGCAGTTCCTTAATCACATTGGCCACATTTTACTTCACTTTTTTTAAACGTGGCTTCCATCATTCTTAATATATTTCTTCATTTACTTAATCCAAGAATACACAGAAAGTAGTTTTATTTTTTTAAAATATTTATTTATTTGGTTGCACGGGTCTTAGTTGTAGCACACGGGCTCCTTAGTTGCGGCAGGTGGGCTCCTTAGTTGCGGCTCCAGGGCTCTTTAGTTGCAGCTCACCGCCTCCTTAGTTGTAGCATGTGGGCTCCTTAGTTGCGGCTCATGGGCTCCTCAGTTGTGGCAGGCGAACTCTTAGTTGCGGCATGTATGGGGGATCTAGTTCCCTGACCAGGGATCAAATCCGGGCCCCTTGCAAAGGGAGCGTGGAGTCTTAAACACTGGACTGCCAGGGAATTCCCTTCTCTGCATTTTTTTTTTTTTAAACAACACCCATCACCACCTGAAATTATATTATATATTAATTCATTTATCATTTGCCTTTTTCTACTAGAATGTCAGATCTTTGAAAACACCATTGTATTGCCAGCCCCAAGAACACTGCCTGGTGTGTTGTAGATGCCAGATAAATTTTGGAATGATTGGATGGATGCATGAATGGATGGGTGTGTGTCTGGGTAAATAAGGGATGGAATACAAAGATGGGTGGATAGATGGATCAAAAAATGGTTGGATGTTTGGGTGAATTAAAGGGGAGATAAATGGGCCACTGAATGGATGCAAATGTTGTGGATGGAGTAGTTAGATGGATGGAGGAGTGAATGATGAAGGGCTGGGTGGATAGATTGATTAGTAAACAGATGGGTGAATGAATGGAGTGGACGGATAAAGAAAGGAGTGGATGGGTGGAGGGGTAGATGGATGGATGGATGAATGCGTGAAGTAGATGGCCAGAAGGAAGGATGGAGGGAGAAATGGATGAAGGAAGAAATGGTTGAACGGATGGTTGGATGGAGAGATGGTTGGAATGAAGGAAGAAGTGAACGAATGGTGGATGCATGCATGCGTGGGTATGTGGATAAATGGGTGAATGGATGGATTAGACAGTTGGAAGGATGGACGGACAAAGCAAGAAGTGGTTGAATGGATGATGGATGGATGGATGAATAAATGAATAGATGGATGGATGTAGTAGAAGAATACGTGAATGGATGAGCGAATAGATGGAGAGATGGAGGGGTGGACAGAGGGAGAGGAGGTTGGGTGGATGCTCTGGAAGGAAACATTCTGGACTCTGTCCCTGTTACTTTTGTTTTCCAGGCCGACCCTCACTCTTCCTGGCCCTGTGTGCCTGTGTGTCTTTGCTGGGTGGCCTGACCTTTGGCTATGAACTGGCAGTCATATCGGGTGCCCTGCTGCCACTTCAGCTTGACTTTGGGCTAAGCTGCTCGGAACAGGAGCTCCTGGTGGGCAGCCTGCTCCTGGGGGCTCTCCTTGCCTCCCTGGTAGGGGGCCTCCTCATCGACCGCTATGGCAGGAAGCAAGCCATCCTCGGGAGCAACTTGGTGCTGTTGGCAGGCAGCCTGAGCCTGAGCCTGGCCAGCTCCCTGACCTGGCTGGTCCTGGGCCGCTCAGTGGCTGGCTTTGCCATCTCCCTATCCTCCATGGCCTGCTGTATCTATGTGTCAGAGCTGGTTGGGCCACGGCAGCGGGGAGTGCTGGTGTCCCTCTACGAGGCAGGCATCACCGTGGGCATCCTGCTGTCCTATGCACTCAACTACGCGCTGGCCGGTGCCCTCTGGGGCTGGAGGCATATGTTTGGCTGGGCCACTGCACCTGCTCTCCTGCAGTCCCTCAGCCTCCTCCTCCTCCCCCCTGGTACAGTTGATGCTGCAGCCCACAGGGACCTCATCCCCCTCCAGGGAGGTGAGGCCACGAAGCTGGGCCTAGGGAGGCCAAGATACTCCTTCCTGGACCTCTTCAGGACCAGGGATAACATGCGAGGCCGGACCATGGTGGGGCTGGGGCTGGTGCTTTTCCAGCAGCTAACAGGGCAGCCCAACGTGCTGTGCTACGCCTCCACCATCTTCCATTCAGTCGGCTTCCGTGGGGCCTCCTCAGCTGTGCTGGCCTCCGTGGGGCTCGGCGCCGTGAAGGTGGCAGCCACCCTGACGGCCATGGGGCTGGTGGACCGAGCGGGCCGCAGGGCCCTGTTAATCGCTGGCTGTGCCCTCATGGCCCTGTCGGTCAGCGGCATCGGCCTTGTCAGCTTTGCTGTGCCCATGGCCTCAGGCCCAAGTTGCCTGGCCATGCCCAATGCCACTCGGCTGTCAGGCTTCCCTGGAGACTCTGGCCTGCCCAGTGGCTTGGCCCCGCCTCTGCAGCCAATGACCGACCAGAGCCCAGGGCGGCCAGTCTTGTCAACCTCTGAGGAAACCAAGCCTCGTCCGGGAGCTGGGGACCCCACTGCCCTTCCTCTGCCAGCCTTAAGCATCGTGCCCGCTGCACCCGCTTCTCCTGCCCCTGAGCATGCCCTCCTGCACTGGACCGCGCTGGTCTGCATGATGCTGTTTGTGAGCGCCTTCTCCTTTAGCTTTGGACCAGGTAAGTGGGAGTTCTCTTGCAGGTAACTTTGGAGCCTTCCACCTCTCCTGGTGGGAAGCCTGGGGACTGAATCCGTCAGGGTCTCAGAGGGACTAGAGGTGGCTTGACCATGGGAACAATGAACTCAGATTTCAGGGCTCCTGCTTCCCTGAAGGTACCTCTTCCGAGGGCAGAGTCCTAATTTATGTTTGTAATATTTTCTTTCTTATAAAGGCCCCAAATTGTCTAAGCTTCAGGCCTAATAAAACCAGAATGTGCCCCTGGATAGCTCACTCAGAAGGGTTTTAGCTGGAAAGGAATTTAATGAATAGGGTGACCAACCATCCCAGTTTGCCCAGGACACTGAAAGTCTGATGTCCCGGGAAACCCCTCCGTTTTCTGGGCAAACCCAGCTTCAGCCTAAGAGTCCTCCCTGCTCTCCTGTCCTAGTGACCTGGCTTGTCCTCAGCGAGGTTTACCCCGTGGAGATCCGAGGGCGAGCCTTTGCCTTCTGCAACAGTTTCAACTGGGCTGCCAACCTCTTCATCAGCCTCTCCTTCCTTGATCTCATCGGTGAGTCCTCTGACCTAATCCCTTGGCCCGGTTCCTTCAAAATCCAGAAACAACTGCCTCCAGACAGAGCCTGGGCCTCCATATCGTCCAGGTGTAAGTCACAGAAAACCCCAGAACACCAGGGAAGGGTCTCTGAGATGCTGAGGATGCTCCTGACCCAAGGCCAGTGGTCATCGAGGCCAAAGTGGGCGGGGCTCCTTCCCTGCAGGGCCCCAAGGCACAGTTCTTAGGGTTTAGTTATTTTCCCATTTCCTGCACCCAAGTGTTTCCTCTTCAAAGGAGGAGCCCTGGGGGACTGTGAGAAATACTCATAGAAGTTCCCACCCACCATGCCTGTCTCCCTTACACAGTCTTTGGGAATCCAAGCTTCTCCCTGGTGCTGCAGTCTTCAAGCATCCCCTTTATGTGGGATGAATGAGTGAGAAAGAGAGAGGGGTGGCGGGAGGGAGGGAGGGAGAGAGGGGAGGAGG